TATCTGCTTATTTTGCAGCTAAACCAATTATGTAAAATATGCCATGTTTCACGCCTAGGGAGACACTGCCATTTTGGACTGTGCAGTCCGTTAGCAGAAATAAAATATTTCTTTGAGGTTTTCATTGTAGCCCAAATGGCAGCCTGTGTCAGTCTATGGGACTCTTTTTTGCCATAAAAACTGATGTATACAGCAGAGGGAGAGAATCAAGAGCTTGGGAAATTATGGTTTTGTGACATTTACTCAAAAAACTCAGAATTCTGATCAACAATAAACCATGCTACACTAATTTATTTGCCTATACTCATTTCACCAGGCCAATAAAATAGCAAGCAATGCATCAGTTTTCATGTGTGGTCATGTAAAAATTCTCACACTTGGAATTCCCGGGTGTGCTCTAAATATAGAATATTACTTGACTGCTTATATCTCAGCTGCTGCTGAAGACCAATGGTCAAAACAAATTACCTGAACAAGGAGCAATTCATCTGATTTGATAATGTTGCTATAGCCACTGTTAGAAGATGGAAATAGCACAGAAAAATGGATATACCACTTTCTATTCTCTCTCTGAGAGGTTACATCGGGGAGTATACTGTGTATGTTAGCTTGCTGATCTTTGGGGGAAGCTTTTTTGAGAAAACCCCATGATGGGTCATTTTAGGGTCACTTGAAGGCACTCAACATCGATGTCCACTTAACAGGTGTCCATTTCCACATCAGGGTAAGCAGGAAGGAAAGGTGAAATATTGGACTACTATAGAGTTATGACACAAGAGAACCCCTGTTTCCTTTTTCTTGCTGGCACAAACCCAAAGAGCCCTGCATTTTGACCTTAGGCATTATTACACTATATTTCCACTTGATTGTCATGGTCCCAACCTATGGAATCCTGGAATTGGTAGTTTAGAGGGAGGACCCTCCTCTGGTGCCTCTGACCAAACTACAAACCCCAGGATTCCACAGGATGCAGGCATAGTAATTACCTATAAAGTGAAATGGAAATCCTATAATTATGTATTGTTAAAGGACCCACAGAAGAACCAAGTCTATCCCATTCCAAATGGCTGCTATGAGAAGGATGCTTTCATAAAACACTTTCCAAAACTACAGTCATGGAACCTCAGGAGATTCCAACACACTACAATTATGCATCCTCCTATTGGCTCCTTCTAGCAGTTCTCAGTCCAACTGGCTGCTTGATCATCCAGTGGCAAGTTACTGGTGTTCATCTCAAGTTAAACTTGAATCTACTGGGGTCACCAATGGCTAAGGGAAGATTTACGGAAGGGACAAAGCCAATGTATCAATGGGGAGGGGGTGTGTGAGAGGGGAGATGTTTCATAGTTTCCCCTCTGCTAAACTTTTCAATGTGTCTCTTGATCCAGGATCTTGGCCTGAATCCTCCCCCCTTTGCCAATGCAGGTCAGATCACCTTTGGATTAGTGTGATTTTAGTTCATTAAAAAATGAATTGAAGAAAGGATTAGACCAATTGCTTGTACCTAGTGCTGTGCATCTGTATTTTGTGCTAATACTGAATGCATCTAATGAGCATCAGTCCACACAATGGCAGTGCGAGTAAATGCAAAATGTATTCCTTGACACTCATTTAACCCAGGGAATATTTAACTATGTGTGTAGGAAGGTCCTTGCCATATCTTTTAATGCAGTGTTTCTCTGGAACACCCACCTAGGATTTAAAATGAGTGTTGCATTATCTAAACTCCCCTAAAGGGAAATAACACTGCCAGCTCATTCCTTGAAACATCAAAGATGTTAATTTTT